ATAGACATATGTTTTCCAACAAAACATGTTTCCTTAAACTATGATAATCATTACCTTAATATATATATACAAAAACATAGTTTTTTCGGTTTTTTTTTTAAAGAAGCTATTTTTATCAAAAAATGATTTTAAATATACCAAAATTCATGATTTTTTATTCTCTACAAATAGACGTCCATATTGATATAGTTTTAAAATAAAATAAATTTTTTTTATATATTTTCAGCTATCGTTATTCATAAATGAATAAAAATAAATCAGATTTTTACTACAGTACATTCGTTATACAGTTATGAATAAAAACTATGATTAATTTTTTTTTTTTTTTACAATTTAAGTATCATTCATATATGAATATAGCATATAATAAACATAGTATATTCATATTTAAATATTAGACGATGCATTCACTTATGAATATTACATAGTATATTCACTTGTGAATATTAGATGATATATTCACTTATGAATATTAGATAATATTTTCATATCTGGATAATACAGAGTATTACATTGTATATCACATGTGAATATTACATAGTATATTCATTTGTGAATATTAGATGATATATTCACTTATGAATATTACAAAGTATATTCACATATGAATATTAGACAATATATTCACATATGAATATTACACAGTATATTCACATATGAATATTATAATGTATTTTCACAAATATATATAATTTTTATATGTTATTCACATAGGAATAACATACAGACTTTCTTGTCAAATGATCCAACCAAACACACCATAAATTTCTATCCAAACAAGATTAAACAATAGCAAACAAACATCCATGAAATCATTATCATCTGTTTTCTTTCCTGTAAAATGAAACAAACCAAACTCCCTTCGTTATCGTTGATTTCTAGTCAAACCCCTTTCTCCATATGTTCATGATGAACACACCAAACCTGATCAAATTATTTTCCCCCATCTACTCACCCGTTGAACATAGATCACCCAAACACCCACCTAACTGATTTACAATCAAAATAAAAGAAACGAGAAGAGGACCGTACCAATTGAAGCAACAACTGCCACATCGAGATCCTTCAGCACTTCCCGTCGATTACCACAGCCAAAAGCCACCATCTTCTAGACTATTTACGTCGATTGGAACCTTAGTTTCCCTTTATGCTTTGGCTCGTTGACCCACTAACACCGATGCCATCTTCCCTCGCCTCCCTCTCTCTTCATTTCTCACCGGTAAGAAGCAAATACGAGGCAGCGGACGTCCGACCCAATCTCCTAGCAAAACCAAACCCTCACTTCTGGCTTCTTTCCGACCGCAATCTCCTAGCAAAACCAAACACCTCTTGGTCTAGTCAAAACCACGGAGACCATCTCGGTTTGCTAGTCGGGCGACGAACCTCCGTGCTTCTAACCCTTAATCAGACGAAGACGAGCACCGGAGAATCTTCACCTTGGTCTCCTTTGCTGCAGACGATGAATGGGTTTGAACTACAGATACGTATTTGATATTAAAGGTTGTTCTCATATTTACAAGTTTGCCACCGTGTCCTTTTATGCTTGAATAAAATGAGTGGCTGAGAATGATTCCCTCATTCTCAACCTTTTTTATTTTCTCAATTGAACCCACCTATATATATATATATATATATATATATATATATATATATATATATATATATATATATATATTAACTTCAAACAATCTTACTTTTGTCGACAAACAGATAAATGGCTCAAACCACAATTGCTAATTGTAGCAAACCATTCGCCATTGATCATCTACTCTGAAAAAGAAGATTTCCTTCGTAATTTTGATTTCAGTAGTATTGTTGATCTCCAACAAGTACATCAGGTTTATATACATCACTTTCATTTACAATATATAAATTATGTGAAATTGGTTTAGTATTATTTATATCTTATTCCTTGATTATTATTATTTTATACTAAAATTTAACTTCCATTAACGATTTTTAGGAAAAAACTTTAGTTGTTGTCGGTACGATTAAGCAAGTATGTGCTAAGAGGAAGGATATTGTTTTACTTGTACTAGATGTCAACAGAAAGTTGTGAAACAAATTTTAATCTATCATGATCAGTTTCAAGATAAAGAAGTTTTTTATTGTAACACTTCAAGCTGCATGAACAAAGTTATTTCTGTTGTTCCCAGGTTTTGAAACTTATTTTATAAATATTATTATATTGTTCTGTTAAATTATATAAATTTATATTACTAAATATCTGTACATCAATGCTTTCAGTTTTAAAATCACCATTATAGTTGAAAATATTACCGGTTCAGTGTTACTTACTTTATAAAGTTTTGAAAACAAGAATGCAAAACAAATAACCAAAATAACTCTTTGATTAATTGGAAAAATCACTCAAAACCAATGTTTTTACAATCTGTTCTCATAATCATAAACTCGATTATAGATAGGTATATATATAGCCTAACAAACCAACTTGTATTAGACTAGGAAACTTATGACCAACTTGCCATAAACTAAACTTTCCATAGATTAGATTGCTTGGTCTCCAAGTCCTCATCGACTTAGGATTCCAACAATCACCCCCGAATCTCTAAGTCCTTCTAGAGAATTCTTCAACCCGATCCGTACTTAAAAAACAGATTCGTCACTGTCGTCACGTTCCGAAAAATCACTGTCTTGTAATTTTTGGAGTCGTTCCGGACATTCAGAAGCAAAGTGACCCGGTTTGTCACACCGAAAACAAATCACCTTAGATCGATCCTTTTCCCTATTTTTCCGATTCTTCCCACAACAACAATTACAATTTTTGCAATCAGAATTAGAATTGGACAGTTTATTGGGCCGACTGCTTTGAGAAACCCTATTATTCCCTTTGGTCCCGCCTGATCCGCCCGACCTGGATAACCCACTATATCCGGATCCACTTGACCCATTAGTCCCATTAAACTCATTTTCTTTATTAGACCCAATCGATCCTTTCCAATTTCCCTTCGTTCCCGATGAGTTACCCCCACCAGTCGACGACCCACCTCCATCTCCGGTCGATTTTTCGGCAAATAGAACCCTCGATTGTCCTTCTCCAGCATCGACTTCCCTTATTCTTTCTTCATATGCCTTCAATCGACCCATACGTCTTCAAACCCTACCGATTTTAAATCTAGTACCTGTTCAAGAGATGCAACGATGTGAATGAAGTTTCTGGGTAATGATTTGAGGAATTTCTTCACTAATTTTGATTCCTCAATCGTTTCTCCTAATGCCGACGATGTAGACGCGATTCCGGACAGCTTTCCGGCAAAGCTATCGATTGTTTCTGACTCGAGCATCTTCAGGCGATCGAATTCCGACATCAAGGTTTGTAATCTCGCTTCTTTGACTCTATTGCGCCCACATTACGTGCTCTAATCGCATCCCAAATTTCTTGGCTGAATCCTGATCTCCAATCTGCATTATGAGGTTTTCTGGTAGGGCTTGATATAGCAAACCCATGGCAAGGCAGTCCTTTTCTTCATTGACATCGGTTCCTGGATCAATCACAGTCCAGGCTTTGTGGATGCGTAAGACAACCTTCATACGCATTGCCCACACGGTGTAGTTAGTGGATGTGAGCATCGGACACAAAACTGAGGTTGTCCCAACCTCCTTCACTCTCACCGGAGCTTCTCCTTCTCCCCCTGTATCTGTCATGTTGACCTGACTCGTCAACAGGTACAAATCGATCTCACAGCTTCTCAACCTAAGCTCTGATACCAATTAAAGTTATGAAAACAAGAATGCAAAACAAATAACCAAAATAACTCTTTGATTAATTGGAAAAATCACTCAAAACCAATGTTTTTACAATCTGTTCTCATAATCATAAACTCGATTATAGATAGGTATATATATATAGCCTAACAAACCAACTTGTATTAGACTAGGAAACTTATGACCAACTTGCCATAAACTAAACTTTCCATAAATTAGATTGCTTGGTCTCCAAGTCCTCATCGACTTAGGATTCCAACACTTTATATGATTCTGACGCAAAGAAGCTTATAAGAAAAAGCGCACAAGACTTAGTTCATCAGTTCTATGAGGTTATACATATTAACTTCATTTACATGAAACAAATTTATTATTTTGTATATCTATTTTTATAAACGTTCTTTTTTTAGGATGGTAATAGAGAAATTTATCCATCTACTCTAAATATACTATTGGAAAAAAAGATGGCATTCAAAATTCAGATTACACATGACAATTTGAAGAACAAAACAGAAGGTTATGCTATCTCAAGGATCATGTCTAACAATACAATCATTGATGAATTGGAAAAAATACTGAATATGGATCGGGTAAAATTGTTTACCCTCAATACTACAAAGAGCATACTTATTATCAATTAAATTCGTATGTCATGAAAGATTAAATTTTAAGTTTTTCTAATATTATTATCTTATTATTTCTTTCTTTTGCAGTTATCGTTATTGAATTTTGAACTAATTATTGAAATTCTTTCATAAGCATCATTACAAACATTTGCTACTGTACGTTGTACACATAAATATTATGGAAATCTAACATACCACAACTATGTTCTTCATAACTACAACCGTAAAAATAATGTCATTTGTCGAATTATCGTTCAACAAAAAAAACCATGGAGAAATATAGAGCGTCAGTTTGTTCCGTCTTCTGGTACCAACAATGTTTACATTGATTGGCTACCACATACGTGTACTATTTTAGCATCACCATTGTGTGGACTCCTTCTTGTTGAATCCTATGATCCAGATGAATATGTTTCAAAGATTTTATTTGTTATCAAACCAACGACTACAGATGCCAAATGGATACCTTTTCTGACCTCTGAATACATTGCAACAAAGTTTGCTTTGGTAGTTATCAGTTAGAACCTGTTACATTTCAAGGTCATTCGATTGCCATACACAAAGTCATCGTAAGAGTTTATATGTAGTACATTTTATGTTATTAATTTACTTTATTATTTATTTATATGTTATTTTATTTGTAGTGATATGCCAAAGGAAAAAGTGGACTACGATTACTACAACGTAGAATTGTTTTCATCTACTACATGGCAATGGAGGGAGTTTCAAAGTGTCCAGTTACCATCATCTGTTTATCCTGTTTCTGATGAGGCAGTTACAAGTGGCGGTGTCGTATACTTCTTATTATCTAATGATACCATATTGCGATTTGATATTTATTCAGAAGAACATATACTCATATTCACACCTTCTCCTATTAATGACTTCAAACCGTATGCATCGAGACTTATCAAGTTTCACGGAAAATTGGGATATTTCTCTATAAGTGAAGATCATTTGTGGGCTATTTGGGTTTTCATTCAAAATTAGTGGGCTAAAGTAGATGTTACTAACTACAATGAAGGTACATATGAATGGTGGTATTATAGAAGCAGTACCCTATATTTCTTTAAAGGAAACACGATTGAGTATGTGGTT